AGGATACCAATGCTGATCCTAAAATTAAGGATTATAAAGTATTTAAAACAAAAGGGCCAAAAATTGATGGACAAAAAGTTGAAAAAGGCAGTAGAACTTCAAATGCCAGCTGTCTCCATGACAATGGGGCCAGCTATGTCAAAACAGTGCCTTCAACAAGCCTCAGAGATGGCAGCAATGTCACCGTGGATCACACAAGGAACCCAGGCATGGCAATTCCCCTACTTACGCACCACCTTTCTGCAGTTGTTCCCAGGATTAATTCTGGAGTGGCGACTATACCAGCAGTTCAGAGTTACAGGTATGAATTAAGAAAATAAGACCCCAAAATTGTTTGAGATTATATCTGCAAATTGCAAATGTTTGTCAGTTCATCCACATTGTTTTACTCTCAGAATTTTAGATGCTATTCTTGTCAGGCAGCTGTTTCAAAAGACTTTTTGGCTGTGTGATGAAAATTGTTAGCATTTGATCAAAAAAATTCACCTGAGTCCTAAGAAAGTAGGGTTGTATTGTTTAAAGTGAAGAGAAGCTACAGCTATTTAGTCTAATAGTGTAAAATGGGGTTGTCATAATAAAATAGGTAACTGGTTTTGGGCGTCTGCTGCTGCATGGTGTGGCTGTGAGCATTTAGTGGTACAAAGAAGCTCCTTTTGGGAATTTTGCTGAAAAGAAGGTAATTTATCTGGTAGAGGTTGGAGGCTGGTGGGAGGCATGAGGGTAGTGATAAAGGATAGAATGTCTCAGATTTATGTGCATTGTATACTTGAGAATAGGCATTAAATTCTGATTAAATCACATGTCACCTGGTGCTGTGTCATTTGGTTTTGTGCTTGAAAAAATAATTATTACTGGTTCTAAGTCACAAATTTTTTTTTGTTACAGAGTGGATGAGAAAACTAAGAAGTATAGTATTCCATTTGTTAAACAGAATAAACATTCCTCATCAGGCATTTATAATATTAATGTGAACACATCAGTAAGTAAACTGTTTTCAGTGATGAAAGAACAAGTACTATTTGGTTGTAGACTTTTATTAATATTAAATATGACAGTGAAGAACAGAGAATTTTATTTGGAGACATATGATGCATATATCATCCCAGGCTACCATAGTCATTAATGTGAAATTCTGAAAATTTAAGTAAGTTTTATGTCTGAAAATTTAAATACATTATTTGCAATGATATCTGTTTTATTTTTTTTTTAGTAACATAGTAAATTTTCTTAACCTGATGCTTGCTGATTGGTTCGTTTAGAGTAGATGAGAAGATAAAATTGTCTCACCCACACCAGATTTTTGGTGAAAGTATTTTATCTATTTATTTAACAAATATTTATTGATCAACCATTTTGTGTGAGACACTGGAGATGAAAAAGTCAATTTTTCTCTTCAAGTACTTCATAGTCTAGTAGAGGATCAACGAATCAAAACTTAGTATCAGATCATAATAGTAAAAGCATGTAGAAGGTTCAAAGATAGCACAGGAAGGAGTATTATTCTCAACATGGCCTCCAGAAAGTTAAGTCAAACCATCATTCTTCTGTTCAAAATCCTCCAAAGGCCAAAGTCCACGTAGGACCTGTAAGTTCCTTCATGATTCACTCCCTCCACCCCCATCCCATCTCGAACTACGCTCTTTCTTGATCAATCTGTTTCAGCCACATTGATTTCCTTGTTATTCTTGGAACGTGGTTAGACACACTCCCACCTTCAGCGTTTTTGTACTTGCTGTCTCTTTTGCTTTAGAACATGCTTCCCTCATGTAACCCAACGGATTTGCTTTTTCTCTTCTTTAGCTCACGTGAAACCTTGCTGTTAGGTCTTCCCTAATGTTGTAAAGCCATTTTCTCTCCCTTTACTCTCTATGGCCTCTCCTTGTTTTTTTTCCATTGCACCTGACATCCTCTATATATTCTTATTTATATGTTGTCTGTTCCCCCCCACCCCCCACCCCACATTAGAACGTAAGCTTCCAAGGCAGGGATTTGTGCTTTGCTTGTTTTCCTCACTGCTCTACTCAGGCACCTACAACAGTGTCCAGAATATTGAAGCTGCTTAAGAAATGTGGTAAATGAATAATGCTTTTCACAAGAAAGGGAGGTATAGACACACTTCCAAAAGAGTATTTTTTTTTTTTCAACAAATTTCTCTTCTTTAACTTTCTGATTATCCTCAGCTAAAAAATACAGCCTTTTCATCTCTCATGATTTGGACATTGCATTCATTTTTCTTTTAATTATTCTTAGTTTATAGTTTCTGTGGCTATAGTACTTTCCTTTTTGGTATACCCTACAGATTTCTTTGTGGATGTTTGTGTTTTAAAATCTGGTCTGCTTTGGAAATTATTATTTTTTTTATTTT